GCTGCAGTTGTGGCGGCTGTAGTGCAGGCTGGTGCAGCCGCTGGCGCATCATCAATACCGGCGTCGGCATGCGAGAAGATCCAGTCGGTGGCTCGCTCCACATTGCCATCGGTGGCCTTGAGGGCGGCCGTCGCTTGGCGCTCGCCAAAGCCCATGCTCATGAGCATGGCCAGTGACTCGGGATTGGCAACGAAAGCGGAGGCGGCGCCATCACCAATGCGATTATTTGGCACCTCGAATGGATCGGAGATATCCGCATCGGCAATGTGTTCCATTAGCCAATTGGAAGCAGCCTCCAGTCCGATATTCTGAGTATGGAAACAAGCGCGTTTGCATGCCTCCTGTGGGAAGCCCATGTTGACCAGCTCCGACATCACATTCTCATCGAAAACAAACGCCGGGGACGCTGCAGTTGCAGGTTCAGGCAGTAGTTCCTCTCCTGGTTGAGGTCCAGTCGAGCGCCAGACACTAAGATCCAGCTCATCCGGCATATCCACCGAGACATCAAGCTTCTTGGGCACCCAATCATCGCCAAGCGTAAATTTGCCCAGATGAATCATCAAGAAATCCGGCATGGTGGCCATGCGCGTCGTCTTCTTGGCCGTCGTCTTGGCATTTATGGCCGTCGAATAGAACTGGTCGATGATCTCGTTGCCAAAGAAACGCTCCAGACATGCCTGCAGCGGAACCTTGTGCCGCACCAGCTCACGATCCGGCAGACGTTGCCCACTAGCTCGTGCTGCCTGCTCTCGCTCCTGATACTCGCGCACCTCATCCAGATTGGTGGCCTGCTCAAGGGGAATTGGCAGTCGGAAGCTGTACTCCTCACGGGTCTTATATTTAACTTTGTGACTGGCCATGCACTCGACACGATCCTCAAGCTGGAATTTGAGAGCATCCGCCGGATTGAATTGATTGCGGGAATTGCGGTCGAGCAGCGTTAACAAATGCAAATAGAAATCATTGGCGTCCTGCTGCTGCTTGGTGCTAAACTCGGGATGATTCTTGCCCACAATATTCTTAAACATGGCCGGTGAAATGCCCGTCATGTGCTCCATGTCCAGCGTGTTGCCCACCAAGCTGCTGTACTTTCCCGAGAGCAATCCATTGCCCAGTTTGGCCATCTGTATATTGAAATCATTGGCCGGATCACTGGGAAAGCTCTTGAAGTACTGATCGGCGCCGCTGCCAACGAAACGCTTCTGGAAATCAGGGATGACAAAGAGCACCTGCATCACACTGTTTATGTAGCAGGAGTTGCCCAGATTTCGCATGCCCGTATAGCCAGGTCCGGCCAGCGGCTGCAGCTCGCTCTCGCTCTCCGTCAGCGCAGACCATTCACCAATGCGCTGATTAATCTCCAGCTCCAGCTCGACCATGGATTTCTCACACTTCTGCATGGCCGCCATATTGATGCCAAAGTGTTGTAAATGCTTGCTCAAGTGCGGATCTAAGACCATATCGTCCTCCGGGTAGGAGAATACATCCGATTTGCCATCGGCCGAAATGGTGCCAAGCTTAACGGCCAGCGGATAGCCAGTCTCTCGATAATGCTCTACTGCGTGATCATTTCCTCCGCTGCCATCAAAGAACTTGCGTCCACATAGGATGGAGCCGTCTGTTAGATTCAGCCACAGATTGTTGGTCAGATCGCATTTCTCGCACTGCCAGCCAGCTGGCGGTATCTTCTTTCCATTGTCCAGCTGTTGAAGATTCTCTGCGTACTTCGAGGCCTGACGCACCTCACCATCCCATGTGCCTGCAAAGATAGTCGAGTTAGTTTAACGATGTTCACGATTAATCAGAGATGTGAGACTAGCTTCAATTTACAAATGGCCAATCAGCGAAATTCGATATGAGCTTCTTCTTCACTCACACATACATATCAAAGCAATTGACTGTAAGTAAATACAATGTTCTGCAGTGCGAGCGAATAAGAGCAGCGGCCATCGTCCTCGATCTTATTGCATAGCCGCTCGAGCAATTGAGAATAAACAAACGCAGAGCGTATGTGGTGCAAGCGAATAAGAGTAGAGGCCGTCTCACTCGGTCATAGTAGGGGCAAATATTTGCACCGATACAAGTGTGAAGTTATTGTTTCAAATGTCTCCAGTCACTGTTTTAGAGTTGATGACTAATGCTTTCGCTTACCGGTGAGTGTGGCCTTCTCGAGCTTTGCTATGGCAGAATCTGCTTCAATGATTGCCTCCACCGCTTGGGTGACACGCATGGGCAGCTCGGGATCTGGATAGGGCAGCTTCTTATCCAGATGGGGGGCCACCACAATGCTGTACGTATCCTTAATCTCGTACTTCTTAGCCAAATCAGTCTCATTGTAACCGCCCTCGACGCCAATGGCAAGACGCGTAATTTTTCGCTCCGGCCCGGCTTCCGCTTCGTCCAACTGCGCCTTCACATTGGACTCGCCATCCTTCAGTTTCCGCTCGCGTTTAATGTGCAAAAACACAACATTTCCGGTTTTAGCGGCATATTCATTCACGTACGCCTCCCCGAAGCCGAGGAAGCTTTGCAGGCAGACGTAGAGGCCCGTCGGCGTCTCCGGGTTGTCGTAGGAGAAGACGCACTCATCTTTGTAAATTGGTGGATTGCCACACGGTACGTTTACCTTGGATAAATGCTTGCGTAGCTCTTCCATAACTTGCAACAAAATTTATGTTTTTATTTTTAACAAATTGTGAAATGAAAATCTATTGAATTTCCTTGCAGCTGCTGCTGCGACGCTTTTGCATTACTTGGCAGAATTCGAAGAGATGCCAACCTGCTCGAAATACCACCCGGCCAAGTTACTCACTGATACATATACTCACTTTACTTTGCCGGCAGTCAGCCAAAAGCTGACTGCTACGTTATTTAAGCAAACAATTTGAAATGTCCGTTTGAAATTGAATATTCATAAATTGTGTTCATCTACATTTTCATTTATTACGCTTTTTGAAAATTTTAAATTCAGATTACATGCTTATGTTTGTTTTGGGTACATACAATTTGTATTTCGATAAATATATATACTATAAATATATATGTTGCTGTTTTGTTTGCAATTTGTTTTTGTTCTTGCTGATTTATTTGTTTTTTGTTTATATCGGCATTTTATTTGCTTACTTGGCTAAAACACAGATTAACACGTTTATTTGATGCTCTTACTATAATCAATGCTTCAATACATCAAGTATATTTATTATACATAAAAATACGCACACCAAAAATTTTTACCACAATTATCTATCGAACTTCCCCATTTCCTCCTACTTTGGTAACAGTTTTACTTTTTTATATTTTTATTTAAAGTACAACAATAAGTTTTAAGTAATAAGTTGCATAATTTATAATTCAATTATGTTACATAGAATTCATGTTAAGAGATATATATATCAATATGTTATTTAATATTTTTTTCAGTGTATTTTTTTGTGTACGGTGCAAAAGATGTAGAAAAAGATGTGGCCGCTAAATTTGTTGTTCAATGTGCGTTTCTCTTTAAGATTTAATCATTATCGTTCATCATTATCATCATTATTCATCATTAATGCCGGAGGTTCATTTCACAAATATGTAAAAAAATACATTTCAAACGCTTTTCTCTGTCTTCAAAAACTTCTTCAATCGCTGACGTATTTAGCTATGCTAAATATTTATTGTTTAAATTTATGCTTGATATATGTATGTGTTTTTCTTCATTTCTTTGCTGATCAGATAAGTTCACGGTGTGTGTGTATGCATCTGTGTGTGTGTGTGTTTTAAAAGATATATTAAGAAAACTGATTATAAAATGAAATCGTTAAACAACCGTTTAGTAACTTTCTCAAGTGCATTTTGTTCCTGTTTTTATTTTTTTTATACATTTAATCAAATCCTGGTCCATTTTAATGCGTATTTGACTTGACCGATATATGAGAGTATATATATATTAACTGTCAAACCAACGTGACTTAAGCTGACTTATCGCATACGCTACTATACTGTACATGCCCCTAGAAACGACTTATCTAACTAAGAAAACTATAACGCACACCGAAGACAGATATTATAGATAAATACTCTGTCAAGTTTTCTGCCTAAAACCATATTTTAATTAATAAAAAAAATATATTTTTTGTTACCTTTCAAAAACTTATTAAGATTACAAATATATATAACATACATTATATATAATAAACATTGGGGCTGACAGTTGTGAATGAGTGTGGGATAGTGTATAAGAATGATGTTTAAAACATAATAAAATCATAATGAGCGAATATAAAAATTAAAACAAAATTTCTTTTCATATCTGAGTAGATTTAATGCTTATTTACTTTTATTATTTAATTAAATTAAAAACTGAAAATGTCTATTCTGTTTTTTTTTTCTTTTGATTTACTTTTAAAGCTTAAATATTTTATATATATTAAAAATAGACGTACATATGTATAAAGTACAAATACGTGTATGTTTTTTTTTTTCATATAAACATAATTTAAAGCAAACTTAAATTAATTTCAAAATGTTTCTTGCACTGTTTTGTTTTGTTATTCTTATTATGTTTAAAGATAATTACAGAAATCACCTCGATTTAGTTAAATTAATTAAATAACTAAACATGCAAATGAACCTAAAAACTAAACGTACCCATTAAATACTTTAATTAAATTTTATATATATATATTATATGTATATAAATTGTGATTGGTTGGATTGTTTTGTTTTTGTTGATTTGATTTTTTCTTATGTTTTGTTTAATTTGATTTCTTTTTAAGTATTTCGTGTATTGCTTTTTGATTGTGAGTAATTTCTTTGTAGGAAAAATATAAATGTATATAATATAAAAAATAAAGTAAAAGTATTTTGAAAATAGGAAATTAATTTAAGAAATGCACATCATATATATTATTTATATTCATATATACGTATTCTTGAGCATATAATACTTTTGCTTTGCATTTAACACGAAACAGAAAAATCGTAAAAAAAAAACAGTTTTGGAAGCAGTACAAGAATAGTTTAAAAGATTGGCATTTAAAGAAATTATATATTAATTTAAATAACTTAAATTTTCCTTTTGTTTGTTTCTTTCACATCATACGGAAATTTTTCAAACAGCCCTCGTACATGTAAAATAATAATTGGAGCATGAACAAAAATAAATAAATTACAAGCTACATACAAATTAGGACTTGAGTATGTGTGTGTTGGTGTGTGTGTGTGTGTGTGTGTGTGTGTGTGTGTGAATCAGACAAATTGCGAGGCGGAGCGCTCACTAGAAATTTGATTTTCTTTTATCTTTTGTTTTCTTTTTTACGGATGGACCCAAAACATGTTGTTTTGTATTTTCTAAGGAAACTACAATCAGCATAGATTGCAGTACTTTTCTTATATAACTTTTGTTTTCTTTTGGAATTCAACACTGCGCGTGTGTGTGGTAGCTGTGGTGTGTATGTGTGTGTTTCATTTGCTGAGTGGATTGATAAGCTGTAATATTAAATCGTTCTGCTGCTTGACTATCTTGTTCAGCGTGTCCAACCACTCGTTGTAGCTGGCCTCCGAGCTCGCCCGGCACTCAATCGAAACGGGTGGCTTATTTGGATCCGTCGATTTGATACGAAAACTGTACGAGCTATCCTTCAGACTGTGCAATTGCATGTGATTCAGCTGCCATTAGAAGAGAATCAATTAATATTCACAATAATTCGATTTCTATTCGAATTTGATCTAGCTCACCTGTATATGTGTACGATATTTGAATACGGGACTGCTAAACTGCGTCTTTTGCTTTTGTATGTCCGCAAAAATGATGACCTGTTGGAATAGAAAGACCTGCAGCTCGCGCTGCTTCTGGCCCGCATCGATGGCACAGGTGAGTGTGCCCTGCAGGAACAGATTGCCCTGGGCCGTAAGTTCGCCATCGAAGTCTTGCAGTCCGCGCAGCACCATCATCATGTCGTTGACCTTCTTAACCACATCCTTCATTTGCTCGCTAGCCTTCATCAGCGTGGCCACCTCGTTTTGCAGACCCGCTCGCTTCGTTTCGCGCAGTATCTCATTGATCAGCAGCACGTATTTTGTGATGCGCTGCACGGGCGTTATGATCAACGTGCTCAACTGCCAAAAAAGAGAGATCGAAATTAATATGTTTTATTAATTATTTAGACCAGTTGCACTTACATCCATGCGATGTCCCAGTTTCTGGCGTATCTGATCGAAATACTGATAATGCGCATTGACTATAAACTCCGATAACGGCTTATTGCTGCAGAAGTAATAGTACATGGTGAACTTCTTGGCAGAGCTCTCGATCAGCGGACCCAACTCAGCTGGTGACTTTTGACACTGGCGCAACAATATCAAAAATTTACTAAAAATAAAAAACATAAATAAAAATAAAGAATTTTAGTTAACAATAATTCAAGCATTATATATATATGCTCAACTCACTCTCTATGCCATTCGTAGATCTCTTTGATGTTATTGAATACCAAGTCCATTTTGCCGCCCAACAAGTCCACAGGTCTCGGTATGTCTTTGTTGTGTATTTCCTCCATGTAGCTGCAAAGGAAATTCGATACACATTATAAATTGCAGCTTGAGGTAACTTTGATTGAATTTGACTTACCCATTGACTATCTTAGACAGATCCTGGACATACGACTCCTCGGTAGCCACCAGCTCATTTAAAGCCAATTGACGTCTGTTGAGAGCGCTCGTTTTGCTATCGCTGGGATCTGTTTTGTTCTATAAAAGAATTGCGCTTAGTTTGCGTTTCTTTTGTTCAGTTGGTGGATATATAGTATGCGATGCTTACCTTGTCATTGTTATCCTGCACAAATCCCAATTCGGCATTTGAATGGGCACGTCCATTGGTGGCCGCATTGTCTATGGCGGCGCCCTCGCTGCCAGCCTCACCTGCCGCACTGCCATCGACGCGGCTGTTCGATTCGTGTTGTTCCTGTCAAGTTGCAAAAAGTTAGAATGCACTCGAAGTCTTACAATGTCGATTCAAGTTCTTCAACTGTACTTACGCGGCTCATTCTGACAATTTGTTCAATTTCCGATAGCGGATTGCCCTCTATCTTGCCCGTGCTTGTCTGCAAGTAGAAACAAGAAATGTAACGGGAAACCAGCATTAGAAACAGGATACACAAGCAGTTGATGCAGCTTTCAGCTTTCAGCTTGCAACTTGCAACTTGCACCTGGCAACAGCTGCTGTCCACTCGTAATGCAAATATGGTAAACTCAATTGAAACTTGATTTTCCAACGGGCTCTAATTGAAAAACTTTTCTCTGAACTGCGCCTCGGCTAGGGCCAAGGAATTCGCATATTTGCATGAAGAAGGTTGTTTTTTTTTTTTTTTTTTTTTGTGAATGCGAATGCGAACACAAACTACAGGTAAGACTACACGTCGAGCTGGAAGTTCTGCCCGTTTTCGCTGTAAACAAATATCATCATCAGCAAGCAAATAGCAAACAGCAGGTGTTTATATTAGGGCTGGCAAAACAGTTTCAAAATACAAAAAACAGTCTAGATGGCCTGAATAAAAAGTGGCTTTTATAATATATTTCATTGAAATCAAAAATTGTGATTTTTAGAATAAAGAATAATTCTACCAAAATTTTAGTTTATATTAAATATTTGTGTTAGAAGTTTAAAAGTGCTTTATTCTTCTTCTTATTTATGTGATATATTTCTATATTTTATTTTAATTTGTAGAATAAAGAATAATTCTACAAAAATTTTAGGTTATATAGAAGTTTTAAAGTACTTTATTTTTGTTTATGTAGTATATTTCTATATTTTATTTCAATAATATATCTATTTATGCATTATTATTATTATTATTTTATTAGTTATTTATTTATTTATTTTTGTAAAAATCGGAACAATTTCTTTATTTTATTTTAAATATTATTTTAATTCTATGCAAAGAAAAGTTTTTTTTTTAAGAAATACCCTAATTCGAGAGTCCACTGTATGCAAAAAATATGCAATTGTTTAGTGTTTATTCTGAGATATTCTCACATTTTTAGTACGTTATTTGCGTATTCGTCAATAATCAAATTTTTGCATTTCATTTTCATTTCAATGGGAAATTTATTTACTTTTCTAAACAAAGTTATTGAATCAGAGAATTAATTTTAAGGTTTATTTCTTATATATAAAATCAGCTAACAAAAATGTTTAAGCAATAATCATTGCATGCATAGGCTTAAAGGCAAAAGCTGTCAAATGGTAAACACAATATACACTGAGCCAATATTTGTTGACTTTTGTCAGCTTGCAAATTGCAGATAAAAATTGTGTAAAAAGCGCTTGTTGCCTTTTGGGTTTCTTTTAGGTTCAAAGTGTATATATATATATATGAATATACATATATAGTTTGAGATATATACATATATATTCATAACACCGTATTTTTGCCTGCTTTTGTGTATTTTGCGATAAGATTTGCGTTTGACCAAGCCACGAGTCATCAGCGTCTGAAATTACGTGTATTTTGCTTGAGGTGTATATATTACGATATTTTCATATACAATACTATATGAATAAATATAGTAGAAATAAGCAAATCGTATAAAACATAAAGAAAATTGTTCAATGTATAATATGTTTACACATTTCACAAATTTGGGAACATTTTTGTCATCAACTAGAAAGATTAAAATCTAGCAAATAGGTATTCAGTTTAAGCATTAGAGACAACGTTAACCGAAATGTTTTCAGATAACACAGGCACAGGTCAATCCTTATTTATGTAATTTTTTCTTCACAATACTTCACTTTTATTCGACTACATTTCGTCATATTATTTATGGTATTTGCCAGTCAGGCATAAACACAAATTGTATCCCATTAATTTTAGAGTATTTGTTAGTTACACACAGTCGACTACCTTTCTAGACGGTTTTAAAAACAGTTTCTCACAATATTTTCGGCATCTTCTTTTTCACACGCACATCCGACAACATTTATACACTTCTAACAACACTTAGGGTATCTGCTAGTCACACACAATTCGACTATGCACTCTTGCTTGCATTTCGCTGCATTTTCAGACTTACGAATAGGCGCAGAAAGCAGCTCATCGCACGTGTTTATATTTTTCAATATTTCGCTTTTATTTATGAATTTTATTTTTATCTCCTCTTCCTTCTTGCGCTTCTTCCTCTTCTGTTTCTGGCTATCACGCGCCGATTTCGTATAATTGTCTATAATAAAATTTTAATTTTTCAGCGTTGCTGTTGCACTCTTTATAAGGATTGGGGATCGGTTTGTCATTTTGACAAGAGCCCAAATTCATGACACGAAACGAACTGCACATCCGAACGCCAACTAAATAACTAACTGACTATATGACCTGTGTGTAGTTGGTACGCATAATTTTTATGTGTGATTGTGTTTGTGTTTGTGTTTGCACTCATACACACGCACACAATTTCGCTCACAACACACTCAAGCACACCCGCACAGCAATCAAAGAAACTCTCAATCAACGCTTCGCAAATTGTGGACAAGCGTTAAAATAATTGTATTGAATATACAATTGAGCAAGCAGACAGAGAGAGAGCCCAAGGGAGACTAAGAGAGAAAGAGAGAGGGTGAGAGTGTAGGGTGTAGAGTGCCGAGCGAGAGTGAGAAGAAAGAGCGCGCGGTTCTTATATAGGCTTGTCGCTTTTATTGTGTGTATAAATTCTTAAACGTATACATTAAAAAACACCTACAATATCATAGAAAATATACTAGAAAACAATGGACGACTATGATATACCCTAGCAAATGTTAAACAATTTCTAAATTTACAAATTCTTCAATCTATGATATGTAATTTAAGTTAAGTTAATAATAATTAAATATCGAAAATTTTACTAACCCAATTTTTGGCCAGACTAACAAATATCCTAGATTAAAACATACACCCTTTAAAACTTATATCAATTAAACAGATGAAAATAATAAAATGTGAATATGAATGTTAGTACAACTCACAAGCAAAATTTTCCTTAACAAGCATATACCCTGTAATTTGTTTTGATAATGTTTTATTCAAGATATACAGCACTCTTTCACTATCGCACACCCCGTAAATCAATAAGTTTACAACTGATTAATAATTATAATGATTGTATATCATTATCATCATATCAGCATTTGTTTGACAGGGTGAAAAACGGTAATAATTTATAAAATAAAATTCAACATAAATTAATATCCTACAGAGCAAACATTTTAAAGTATAGATATTCATAATACCCTGGTTTATTCATTGACCCCTTAGCAGCATTACATTTGTATTATTTAATCAGTTTGAGTATGTCAAGTATCGAAGTGCCCTTCGTCATAATATACCCTGTATAAATAATATAGTTTAAGTGCTTTTACGACAATTTAGTGGCAGAAGAGTTAAGTAATTCTGAGTGGAAATAAATGCAAGTACTTTTAAGACTATTTTAAAAACAGCTTGGGGCCCTTTCTTGCTGTTGAATCACTTAAACAAATTGAAGTTCCATGGAATTGGCGCACTTGAAGGTCAGACATTTAATTCGTGCGTTTTCCTAATTGGATTATGCGATTCTGATAAGGGCAAGCATTGAATTTAACATGGATAATGAAGAACGTTGCCAAATGCGTTTGCCACCGCGTCTAATTAGGTCAAGAGGGTGGCCTATAGCAGGGCGTGGCAGCTACTCAAGGCGAAGTTTGCAATTGGCTGATGTCAGAGCGAAAAAAAAAAGAGAACGAAAACAAGAACAGGAACAACAAGGGACTATTAAAATTTAATGGATATGTAAATATATAAATAAGAAATATAACTTTGGGCAGGGGCAACTAAACAAAGGTAAGACAGCCTGAAAACCCAATTGCCAATTGTTTCCAAAAAGTAAAACGAGTTAACACACAGCAACAACAATGCATCGATAATAATAATACTATACAAATATGCTAGCCGACCTAACTGGGTTAACAACAATAAGTTCACACCCCTGTTCCGAAAGACAGATAAACAAACAGACGGAAAAGCAACAAAAACTCAAAAGCAAAACAGAAAAAAAAAACAAATTTTAAAATTCGAAATAGCAACGAAAAGAAATGAAAAAAAAAAAAGAACAGCAAAAATTTTTACAAGGTAATGCGAATTTACATTAAATTCAACTAATAAGCCATAAAATAGAAAATGAGTGAGAGACAGACAGGGAGCAAGAGAGCGAAGGGGAGGAATAAAAGAAAAACAGACACAGACGACATTAAATTTATTGATGAAAATGAAGGCAACGTCGGCGACGGCGTCCAAATGGCGACATAAGTCGCATTGCCGTCACACACACAGACACACACTTAGACATACACACAGAGGCAGAGAGAGAGAGAGAGAGGGGAGCGAGGGAGGGAGAGCAGTCATTGCCTTGTCTTGTTAATGGCATCTAAAGACAATATGGCGACATTCAGCATTAGAGCATTTCTCAAGAGCTAATCGTAATGGATATGTCATTGATTTGCGCCCAAACTTCAACAAGTGTCCAAAAATATCAAAACCGAAATTGACAATCTCAATTGCATAGTTGAAAAAATGATGACCAACAGATACTCTATCTGAGATATCATTGAGTTGAAACATTAAGAAATGGTATAGTATGGGAAAGATGGGATTGATTATATAAGGTACAAAAAGGAGATAAGACATGAGTTGGAGGATTTAAGGTCGAAGGTTGAAAATTCAATACAAACAGAGAATATGTTACATATGAAAAGAGTTGAGGGGATTAAGGAGTAAGACAATATCATATTAGTTTGATGCACAAGAAGTTAAGAGAAGTAGAGTGAGATAAGAGGGAACTTCGGATTTAATTAAGTCATCTAATCAACTTGCTATAGTAATACACATATATCATAAGATACCAAATATTTTATCAAACTCAAATATATCCATCTCCCCTAAAAATCATGTCATATGCCCTGCACATTCCCTACTCATTTACCCAGAGATCTCATAAGCCATATTCATCTCTGTGTATTTCTATTTTCAATTTAAATACCTGACTAAAGAATCAATATGTTCCCACATTAATTCTTCTGAATTCTCACAGTAGCCCCCCACACACAAAAATATATTTTTTACTTTTCACATTTTCCCTCCATTGGCATGACAAATGGTGTTTTTCTTTTCACATTTCCGGCTAATAAAGCGCACAGAGATTTAGTGGCAACTTAGTCTAAAAGTAAAGTACACCAGACACAATGCAAATGAAGTGAGCAAACCACAGTCGAAGCACCTAAAAACCACCCTAACCACCCACACACCCACTCATATACAACTAAATCTGAATGTGAAATTCAGCCACAAAACGTTTTGCCAGCTAATTTGACTGCGCAAAATTTATGCGTCGTTTATTACGTGGTGTGCGTGTGTGTGTGTCTCTGTGTTATTGTTGTTGTTGCTGTTCCTTATTGTAGCTGGCGTTGAGCATCTAAGTATTCTTTCCTACCTCTGTCTGCCCTCCCTCGCCGTCATTGGCCAATCGTCTGCCCTCTCCCCCCATTCCACCCCATCGTCATTCTCAGTTGCTCTTGATGAGTGTGTAAACAATATAAAGTGGCGCATTTATGGGCAAGGTGGCACCACCCAACCGCCGACACCACCTGCTGAGATCTGCTTTATTTGCAATGCTTTCTAATTGAGCAAAGGCAACTCGTGCTCGGATTGCCCAAGCACAAGAGCTCCATGACGCGTCAGCCTCTGTGTGTGTGTGTGCGTGTGTGTGTGTCTGTGCCTTGCTTTTCTCTCTAGCTCTAGCCAGTGGCTGTGGCTGCTGCTGCGGCTACGTCTGTGGCTGTGTTTGTGGCAACTGTTTTGATTTGTATTGGGAAATACACATTTAAACAAACATGCTAAAGACCAAAACAAACAAACAAACACAAGCACACAAAGGCCACAAGATGCAAAGCAACAGCAACATCAACAACAGCCAAAGAATTCACAAACTGTTTATAAATTGAGAGCACAGTTCTAAAGGAAACTGATGCGGCTGCTCCGGGATGCTGCTACGAGCTGTGTGTTTAGCATTAGAAATGAGTGCAAAGGCAAGAAGTGAATGGATTTCGTACTGCTCTAAAACTCTCTACGTGCACTTTGCTTCGAGTGCGAAGAATTAATTAATTTAAACTGAAATGAAAATTTGTAATATACTAAAATAGTTTCTTAAATAATTTCTAAGATAACTTTAAAGTTATTTGCGGATTTTACGAACTATTTAATCCCTGTTTGCTAAAACAAAATCTGCAGTTTAATTAAAGAAAATTTTAATAATCCCATCATCGGCACTTAAAATTGACTCACAAAATATTTGCTATATTTTTCTTTTGTAATAAAATTTTTATGTGAATCTTATTTATATTTATATATTTTTAATTCTGATGAGTTTCTTGACTGAAGTCAATTAAATGAAAACATTAATTAATAAACCATCTTTAAAGACTTTTTCGGACAACAATAATTTCTGCTTGAGAAACATTTTAAATGAATATTGTCTGCTGTAGATTTGAGTAAAATCTATAATATATTTAATTTACCTAGGCTATAAATGCGAATATAATATATATTTATAGAAACCCATAAAACCACATACATATGTAGCTATCTACAGACATTAGTTTAACCACAATATCGATATATGCACAAGGACAATATAAAAAAATTTGGCAAAAAAACCTCTGAGTGAGACTCTGATATATAAATACATATATACAGATATTACAAAAAAAAAAAGAAAAAGATATATATATATATATATATATATATATAAGTAAAACCACATTGAAACACTCACCAAATTGGCGGCGTTCTCCTTGAGATCCTTGGGATATGCGGGCGGTCCATTGGCAATCAAATGCGGCTCCTGTATGGGCTTCATGGGCGGTGGCAGCTCCAAGCCGGCCTCCTCCTCGGCCTCAAAGTCCGGTTGCTGAGCGCTTACATTGGGGAATTGCGATGGCAATTGGCCAACGCTTCCGCTGGCGCCGCTGCTCGTCTGCTCGGCAAGCTCCTCGGTGTGCTTCTGTGTTAGCTAGAAAGCAGAAAGCGTTTTATATTATATAGATATTGAAGCATATATTATATATTTATCTATATGGTATTTTAAACATATATATATAGATAAATATTATTGTGTGTTATAAATAATACTCACTCTCAGATTCTTCTCCGAGGGCTTCTTCAAGAGCGCCTTCTCATTGGGTGATTTCTCCACTTTGCTCTGCGATAGCTTACGCAGCGGCTGCGGTATCCATTTGCGCCTGCAAAGGATAACGAGAAAAGCGAAAGAAAATCCATGATTATTTATTACACTTGGATCTAGCGAATCGAAGGGATCAGTTTTACAGGAACATGCGTATCGCGGTGGCATTGTGCACGAGCTCATCCATTGTGCCACTTTGCTGTTTGTAGGTGTATGTGCTTGTGCGTGTGTGTGTGTGTGTGTGTGAGCGTCGGGGAGAACGCGTCGTATACGCAATTAAAAGTAAAACACCCGACCCCTTGGCAAATTGGCTGTCCAGCTGCGTAGCCGACATGAGACTGTCGCCAATAGCACAGCAGCATATCTCTTTGTCGCCGCCGACGCCGACGCCAACGCCATTCGCACAGTGTGGCCAAGTTCATGGCACACGGCCAGCGGGAGTGAGCGAGAGAGAGAGAGAGAGAGCGCGTGCACTCATTGCCACTCAATTTATTGCGTTCCCCCTGAATATTTTGTTGTATATACACTTCATGCCTTCTGAATATCTCGTTGGTCACATTTAAAAAATGCTTTGTTTTATGATTGCAGCTTCTGCTTTTTCTACTTCGTTCTTTAAGGCTCTTATCATAAAATTATTTCGCTTCTTTTGATAACGATTTTTATTCACTTTTTATGCGTGAAGTTTGCTTCTTTTTTTGTTTTTTGTGTGCTCAAAAACCAATTTTGTTTAATTTTCAATTATTAACTTTATGTGGGTCAGTTATCAAACCTTCTTTAATGACGCGGGCAGCTGTCAGATGCTATTAAAAACCTGTAGTATTTTTCAATGTTTGGCATTTTAAGGACTTTGAGTGAGGAGAGACGACTGTTGGGGATTATTTATGGTATATAGCTTGATTAAATAGTCAGTAATAAGGATATTTACTGAGTTTCTACTCTCTCTCGATCTGATATATTAAAAGTTTCTCAGAAACATATTATTGTACTTACTTTATTTACTGTTTTCTATCTTCTATTTTTCTACAGACTCTACTACCTAGTGTCAGCTTACTTTTCTGCCTTCTGTAAACCTTTTACATCATTTCCTATAGATATTTTCCTTACATTTTTATCTCTTTCTACTGTTATTTTCTATGAAGGGTCTCTCTCTCTCCTTTTCTTTCGTTAGCTCCCAGTTTTCTGCCTCATTTTTAATCAATATTTCTTCTCTTTGTCTATTTAAAGACTGTTCACTTTTCGTCTTCGCCTGTATATGTAAAGTATGTAAAAATCCTTTTCACTCGCTCGCTCAAAATCTTTCTCTCTTTATTTTTCGATGTCCCTCTATTTGAACTACTATAGCTATTCTTATGCTCCATCGCCTATTCATGCATTTTACCAGCCTGGCAAATTCATAAATTTCATTTACTTTACACAAATCCCATTTTGTTTAAGACTCAAATTGTGGTCTTCAGGGCCAGAAAATACATTTATGTATTTATATACATGTATAAATATAAATATAGGTTTATAATTAGCTTCAACCGCATTAGGGACATTTCATGTAATGCAATGTGGGCATGGCTGCGGTTAGAACACAAAGCGAGTGTACATTTTGCGGTAAATGATTATTAAACAAGAGAAAAACAAAAATAATAAAGCATTACAAGCTCTATGCGCATTAGCCCCAAAGTTCAAGAGTCATTAACCTGACTAACGTTTGCGTGACCTGTTCCTTAACCTAACTGAGCTGTTTAAAAATTTGTGAACAATGTAAGTGACATATCTATAAATGAACTAGAAAAAATTATAGACAGAGGACACTTTGATATCTCTGTGAACAGGTCTTCCTCTTTACGTACTATAATAACTGTCATTGTTATTTAAAGCAGAACGTTTTGCTTACAAGCACGTTGCATACTACGCGGCGCTTGCCGCCCACAACAACTGAGTGGATATTTTGTGCAGATGGAACAGCGAAGATAGGCGGGGGAGGGGAGCTATATGGTATGGCTAGCGACGCCTTTCAAGCAGCGTAACATAATTCAAAGTAAAAATAAACATTGACACCGATAACAGGGCAAGGGCGGAAGAGAGCGTAAACGATAGAGCGACAAAGAGAGAGAGAGAGGTGAGAGAGTGAGAGAGAGAGGCAAGCAGCTAGGTTCCTGGAAATAGTATTTAATTTATTACGTGCTCGTTCACGTTCAAAATTCATTTCGCTGATGTAATGTTTTAGGCAAATAAGCAACGTTTAATACACATGCACACACATGTATGCATATACATGTGGGCGTGTGTGTGAGGCGGAACCTGCGTATTAATGAGTTCGCCCTAAAGTATGCAACAGCGCCCAAACTGTATAGAAGAGCTGTACATGTGTGTGTGTGTGTGTATGTATGTGTGTTTGAGTATGTGCCTATGTGTGTGTTTGTATGTTTGCACACTTGCAAATGTGTCCATTTAGTTCATTGGAGCTGGCTGGCACACGCTGTCCACGCCATCGCCCCTCGGCCAGCCCCGCGCTTCCGGTCTGCCCGCTGCACAAATAAACGCGCTTATTGACAGAGCGCTTGAGACAAAGGCTAGCTAGAAGGTAAGCAGGTCCTTCCACAGGCCAGCCACGCTCGGCCTGACAATAATCTATATTCATGTTCGGAGCTTGACTCAATAACAACAGCAACAACACAAGCAACAACAATAAAAGAAATTGTTCGCTGGGCCGAGGCGAAATGCCCAATTAGTGTGCAAATATTGTGAAAGTATTTTGTAATTTATGTCCAACTAACTAGCTGAAACTGAACAATTTGGCTAGCCATATAAGGTAGCAGATGTGGGGCAGGCTTAAAAGGCCGCATAAACAAATACATAAATTATTTAGGCTAAATGTATTGCATTAAGAGCAAATAAGTTAGAATAATATAACAATATTTATTATATCATATTATGGAGGCTATGATATAAGACCAACTAATGGGGCAATACAAAATAAGCATTTATACCATATACATTTATAGATGTATGATGTTAATAAAACTCAACTTTTCTCAGAAGCAAAAAGCAAAGATTGTGAAGTTTTCTTTTAATAACTGGCAGAACAAGAGTTCTTAAGCAAATGACTTGATTTGAACGAATTATTAAAATGGAAACTATATGAAAGAGCCAACGGACTCAAGAGATTCTGAGAATTATACTTTATATAGCTAAAACAAGCAGCTTTACCAACTTACAGCTGTGTAGCTTACAAGGAAGTCGAGTTCCAATGGAACATGTAAACTAAAAGAAACTCTAGCTAATGAAATACGAAAGAAATTGAAATAGAATAGCAATGAAATATATTTTCATCATAATATACAAGAAATTGATTGAGTCAAAATGCGACAAATATCTTATAATTGCTGGTCAAAAATATGGAAAGCTTATTGCGATCATGATAAGATTGTCATGAAATATTCTTATCTAGCAATTGAATTTCAAACGAAAAGTTAATTACAAACAAGGCACTTCAAAACCTGCAAATTCGTAATTACATGTGGCTGATTAGTTGTGTAGCGAGAGCGTAAGAAAAACAAATAATTTGACCGCAGTGCGTATGATTAATGCACAAACTCTATATGCATTATACCATGCTGACTATATATATATATATATATATATATATATCTGTACGTATTTATATAGAACACATATAATGTTCTCAATTGTCGCTTATCAGCAATGACGACTCCACAGTTCCAGCTGCACCACATGCTGACTAATCCACAATGCTTACAGGGAGTTCCCACCCCGTCTTTCCTTTTCTCCACATAAGAAGAGAATCCATATATATACATGATTGAAGAGCTTATGAGAATCTAAGGGCAATTGCAATCGGACAACGTGCGAAAAACAGGTTTCGCTTGGAGCAATTAATGCAAACATCTGTGTGAAATATTAAGCCGGTTTGCAACCCGGCTAGAAATTGTTCCTCTATTAACTCGGGCAGCGACAGACAGTTAGGGGTTTTTCACAACAGCGGGTAGCACGCGATTGTAGCTGGAAGTTCCCATCGGCTCAATTTTAATAAATTATTATACAATTTTTAAATATTCCAAATATTTCCGTCTCAATAAATTTGAAAGCGTGCCATATATTGTTATACCTATTTATAAACCTGTTGCAGTTAATAAAATTGGAATGCAGCTTCTCTTAAGTCTCATGTAAGTTGGTTTAAAGCAGGATTCTAGTAACTCAAATATTTCTCAAGCTATGTATAAAGTAGAGAGCTTTAAAGTTCTAGTAATTATTGAAGATTTGAAAGCAATTTTCTTAAATGATATGTTAGCTAACTTTTGCTCTATAAATTTAATTTTTGTACTATAAATATTTGGAAAAACTTGATGAATTTCGGGAATGAAACTATATCAATCCCGAAGCTCACCAAGTTTTTCTAGAATTTTTTTTTCGTAACATTAATTTAGGTTAAAAACTTTCATTTTCTCTTTTTTTAAAGCACTTTAGGGCTAGGTAAATTCTCTTTGTATTTTCCTGTATTTATTTATAGAGCAAAACGTGCTTGGCTCAATTGAGACAACATATATACTTATATATATACATTGTATCCATAAACAGTATATAAACAGATATCAACGGCAGCAGACGACGCGGACAATAAATCAACTATATATATATACATATATATATAAATTTATTTATATTTTTTTGGATTGAGTCGCGACTCGCGACACTAGACTACCAACATTTTTATGCTTAGTCACTTTTTGGATAACGTTGCACAAACAAAAACAACCAAAATAAAATAAGACATATATATATGTATTATATATTATATACATATATATAATTCACTGCTGATATTGATGGACGGAAGCGTCTTGGCTGCGATTGCATACAAGTGAAATTTTGTTGCTGTTCCAAATGGCGCTGAGCACACACTCACACACAGACTCACTCACACTCACCCACACACGCACATGCACACACACACACGATAAAATAGCGAATGGGCATCTAATTGAACGTGAGGCCAAACGCACAGTTTGGATTACAGCAGAGTCAAACAAAGGCTGTGCATTGTGCCGCACAGAGCACTGAATAAGCAGCGCCCACTTTTTCAGGGCATCTGATTGTAATACTAGGTACGGCAAATATGTAAAGAATTTACCAAATTTATGGACTGTCGATTAAAGCTGAGAGTTGCAGGCGTTATGGCTGATCGCAATCAGAGCGAATGCAGCTGATGAATAGTAAGCCTAGAAATTAAATTGATTTGTGGTAATGGCATATCAAGTAATGCAGACTATTAGCCAAGTTTTAGCTTGGTCAACAACAGCATATTGAATTTAGTGGCATCTTAGACAAATTGAGCGAAGCTGCAGCTGCAACGAGTAAGCACCGGCTCTTTGTCAAAGAGTCTAATGCAGCTCTCCTAAATTTCTTAAAACTAAATGCATTTTAATTGAACTCTACTTGTCATTGATGCAAGAGAATCACTCAAGCAGGTGATTTGGTAACTGAAGAAATTGTAGCGAAATTAAATTTAAATGGGTTTCTTATAATTATACAGATTACATTTTCAGATACTTTAAAGCATAGCAGCTCTATTATAACGACATTTAAAAGAGGGGTTTATCAGCGGATCTTAGGGTATAGTGGTATAACAGAGAATTTCAGCAGTTGCCAGGCGGCTTCAAGGGGGCAATAACAGATAAATATCGATCAGGGTATTTTATCACAGTGCCCAAGCAAATCAAAATGTTTAGCACCGGATTTACAAAACACGTCAACACAACAGCTGAACTACGCACTGAAAACTCACGATACTTTTCACAGGAATTGTGAAACACTTAGCGAAACTTTACCATGTTTTGGATTGATAATCGGCGTTCAGTGTGGGCGTTTGGGGCTCCACGGGTTCACAGCAGAAGCAGGCAAAGCCTTGCGTCTTTGAATGTTGATGAAGGGGCACTGTATTGACCTTGCCATTCGCATTGATATTTAATGAAATGGACTTAAAGAGCTGCGGCTGAGGCGGTTTGGGGCGCTCATGGATAGCCGAATAACGTTTTAATTGATTCACAGTCTCGATATTATTATTATCATTGTCATCGCTAATGAGATGACAAACGCGATAATCACTTATGGGCTTGGCACTGCCATTCCCGAAATGTGCACCGTTGTCCAAGCTCTTATCGGCAGCGCTATTGTTGTTGTTACACATGACTGATAACGGGCTGTGGCAGATATCTTAACACCAACAATCCACCAACTATCTAAGACGAACGTCGCTTGTCTTTAGACAGTTCTACACAACACACACACTCTGCGTATACTCAACGTTGCGTTCCGGCGTTTCAAAAACAACTGAGCCAGAACATGGACAAGCTCTCTCTATAGCTCGAGCAGGCTTTCGCTTTCTGGAGAGCCTCAACAGATATACAAATACATTCACAAAACAAAGAGTGAGCGAAACCCTCTATTGTCCCTCTCTCTCTCTCTCTCACTCCGCCACTCTAGACACCTACACAAAGAGTATAAGTAAGTATAAATAAAAGCCAACTGTGAGCAACAGTTGAGCGTATTCGGGCTCTCAAAAAAAAAAGTAATAACTGTAAAAGCAATGTACTCGTTTGCTAGATACCCTGTAGTTGATATACGACTGCAATATATTTCAAAAATATTATAGATAACCATTAGAGGGTATTTAACTATCCATATACTATATAGATATATCAAATTTAAGATAACATGAAATAATTATTATTATTATTATTTTTTTTTAATATCGGTTGGTATTAGTATACTTGGTTAAATTATTCATTCACCTCTTATTAAAAATGTAAAGGTAAATTCGACTTATTCTTATTATTATTATAAAAGTAATACTTTTAATTTCTGATGAGCTATATAAATCCAGTGTAATACTATATATTTTCGTCGATTCAACAATTTGATATAACTAATATACCCAACTTGCGAAATTTTAATCAACTAGGGTGTGCATAAATAAAGTTCTTTCTACGTTTTCGGTTTAATGAGTATTTATCTTATTGTTGTTGTTGTTGTTGCCTTTGTTGGTGTTGCTGTTGTTGTTGTGGTTGAGCTGCTCAGTGTAATGGGTTTATATCTTTATAGCTAGCACCCGAACCGCACACGACACGCGATTAAACAGCCAACGCAAAATGTTAGTAAAGCTGCTATGAGCATTTAATAAACGAATAAATGCTGGGAAATCTAATAAATTGATGAAATAGCTTAGTGCAGTTGCAAAACTAAATTAAATAAATCAAAAATAATAACAGAAAAATAGAAAATAAAAAAACATTTTTTCTAGTAAAGAAAATAAAATGGCTCATAAAGCTATTATCTCTATTTTACTATCCACATGAAATATGTTTAGAAAAGTTGTCCTAAAGCCTGCTTAACACTTCAAGTATAGTCATTTAATCTCAGAATTTTATCGCATACTTTTATATTTCAACTAATCCACCATGACGCATAAGCCCCCGAAGAGGGCAAGAAGTGCATGATAAATCATTGCAGTGTAGCTGCGCAGCTTTTAAAGCATATTACAGAGAACTTTATACTACTATGCGACAATTACGTAAATGCGGCAATTTTGTTGTTGTTGTTGTGTTTATCGGGCTGAACAGCTCAGTGGCTCGCATTAGGTTTGAGCAATAGAACAGAAAGTTAGGGAGAGGGGGGGAGGGCAGTGAGTGCGAACTGATAAGTTTTATGACAAGCATTTTCAATTGGTTTTTTATTTCGCTTTATTTATTTTCTTTTTTTTTGTTGTTCACTTCATTTTGATTCCTTGACCAGCAGAAAGACAATCAACAATGCCTGATAGCGATTATGCTTGCCTGTACACACACACACACACACAGGCACTTTGATAAACTTGGCCAAAATAATTGCTAGCATTGTTATGAAACTAGCTGGAGGGTAAGGGCTTAGTACAGTTTGTTAGGGACATATGCACTTGGAGCAGAGAGAAGCTAAACGCTAGGAAGTTTACGAAATTTTGCTAATTGTTGTTGTGCAGAAATTCTGTAGGGGATAAATTTTACTCTGTCTCTCCTGTCCTCTTTCTCCCTCTCTCCTTCACTCTGTGACTAAGGTTTCATCAAACTGCTTCACTCATATTCTGCAGTTCTCTGACTTTATAAACTCTCTTCAGTTCTCTTATGTTTCCAATGACTACTAGTATATATTGAACTTGCTTTACTAAATTGCTGATTAGATATTTTGCGCTTATCTTCAATGTGAGAATGTGCCATTGGGCCAATAACTCTCAGCTATTTGACAGCAATTGCTGAATCAAAAAAAGAATACGATTTCTTGGAGCTGAAGAAGGATTAGAATAAAACAATTTTGGAATGCTTATCTTTAGCTTATCTAAATTGATAAAGAAATTACTTAGGACACAAATCCATTTAGTTATCAAAAAAGTTAATGCTTGACTCAGCTTAAATATTAAAAAAAAAAAAAAAAAAAAATTTGTTTAAATGCTAACAATTTGAAAATGAAATTTTCCTCAAGCTCCAATATGCTCTCTCTCTCTCTCAAGTTCTATGACTTCTCACAATATTCATATTAATAATTCATAAATAATATACTATAAATTCCCTCTGACAGGAGACGACAGCTCGACAATTTCCATGCAGTCGTCTACGACTCTATTTTGCAAGTCAACCCACTATTCGTGATATTTGAGCTGGGCACATGTGCGACAATTGCGTTTAAATATTTAGAAGCTGTCAAAATCGTGGCCAAAGGCTTAAAGCTTTAACATGCCTCTGCTTATGGCCCGTTGAGCATTAATTATGCAACAGTCACTTAGAGAGTGACACGATCTAAAATGCTGACGTGGCCCAAAGGCCATAGTCAAGTCAAGACAAGTCAGCGTCAAGCTAAGTTGGCCAACAACTTTTTCCGAGCTGAGTTCTGTGAGACACGTTTGCATAGTAAAGCAGCCAAAATAGTTAGAAACTCACCCGCTAAAGCCGCGTCGCTTGGTCGACGAAGACAATGCATCCGCCTTGCCGCGATTCGCTAAAGTCAAAAGTAAATGAATTTAGTTTAGACAAGTTTGCTCAATCTGCATTTAGTTTCGCAAGCAACTCACCTTGATCCTGCATATCGTTTGGCTTCTGTGCGGCTCCTGTTCCAGTGGCTGCTGATGCGGCTGCCGTTGCTGTTGCTGCACCACCGGACGAACCTTGCTTGTGAGCGCCTGGCGGCGGTTTGAGCACTGCAACGGGCACAAGACCCTCTTGTACAGCCGAATCGTCATGCTGTGGATTTAAACGGACCAAACAAAAGTCCGGCTCACTGGCTGTGGGCGGCTCGATAATCTCAACCTGCTGGCCCTTGCTAACGCTCAGCTCATTGCTGCCCGCACTGGCTATGTAGTCAGCCACAACCCAGGTGGCCTCCTGATTGCCCAGCTGCAAGAGAAAGAAAGAGACAGAGAGAGAGTGTGAGATATGAGATATAAGTATGCTAAGCATGGATAGGAAATGGAAAAAATATGGATTTTAAGTAGACGAAATGTAGATGCTCTAGTTCACTAGGAACAATTGTCTACTTTTTTTTTATATTTATATTTTATTTTTAACAAAAATTGCATATTTAGTTTTTAATAAAATAAAAATAGATATCAAATTTGTATATAAAATTTTATTTCAAGCAATTATTCCCAAGGAAGCCAGATAACAAGTAATCCTAGTCTTAACGAGCAAAGTCCAGTTCTTGGAAAGCTTTTGCTTAATAAGTTCGATAAGAAGAAAATCCCAAGAAATTTTCTTTTAAATAAAAACCCAATTCTCAATAAAATGAAATATTATAAACGATTTTCACACAGCTAGGAAAAAAGTTTATTATAAGCCCCAGAGTTCATATAGATAAAGAATATATAGATATACTTGATGCACTCAAAGAGCTCGTTTCTGGGTAACATCTCTTATGACTAAGCTTCAATGCCCTTAGCGAGTGTATAAAGATGATGCTGATGCTGTTGATGGGCACCAACACACACACACACAAGAGACATAAGTGCATCCATTGGAGCGAGTGGACAGCGACCATGCCAAGTGTCGAAGGGCAAGGGCAAAGCGGGCGATTTTATTGATTTAATTTGTGCGGTTTTCGTCAGCTGCAGGCGACACACATACACACACACACTCATTGAGTGTATATGACTATGTGACCCACAGCAAGGACTCGCTTGAACACATACTCGAAATAGGAAAAAAAAAAGCAGCAGGCGACCTCCAAACGCAGCTCAAGGATCATTTGCCAACAGAAGCCGAACTAATTAGAAAACAATTCCCAGCAGCCACGCCCCATGGCTCAAGTGGCAAGATGTCAGCATCGATTAGCAGCAACATAATGTTTATTCATAATTTAACGCTTTATTAATTTACATGACAGCTAGCAGAAGGAGAAGAGGAAGCAAATTTAGCTGTGTTGGAATTTTCGAGCTTGCCAATTGGCGATTAGAATCGATAAGTACCCAATTTTATGGCTATTTTGGGCTGTGAATCGATTAGGGAAATCAATATATGAATATATATATGGTTAAGATTTTCACAATTTATGTACACATAAATATACATACATACATATGGATATTTAGATATATGTACTGCCTGAGCGTAAGCTTCATTAGCAGCTCTGTTCATTAGGGCTGCTCCTTCCGACTGCCTCGGTACAGTTCGCTGGTTATAAATAGCACGAGTTTCCACCAACAGCAATTAGAGTTATATAAGACTGCACGACTGGCAGTTGCCCTACACACACAGCTGCATGGCATCCCAAAGCTCGTGGGAGTCGAGAGCTCTTCGAGCAATGCTTAAAAATGCATTATGACTGTGAATTACTTGAACATGTATACCCTGTACCATACCACGCACAGGGTATAAAAAGAACAAGTTAACAGGAAGCTGAGCAATGAGCCCAAGTAGGAAGCTGCCTCAAGGAGCTGCGAGTCAGCTGCTGCTGCTGTTAATTAAGCGCCATACAGACACACAACAACATGTGTCCGTGTGTGCATGTGTGTAAGCGAGTTCATACACATACACACATCTAGCGTCGCTACATATATTGCACGTTTCCGCTTGTAATGCAATTAGTCGAAAAGTTTTCAGCGCGTTGAGCATTCAAACTTTTCAACAAACAGTTTGTGCAGCCCACATAAAGAGCTGCAAATGGGCGGGCCGAGGTCGGCGGATGGGCGTGTCGCTGAATGTGAGCACAACTTGTATATATGTATGTCAGCTCGCCTGTCAACTCTCAAAATGAGTGCCATTAAAAGTTGTGCCTGGCACAAAGGCGCACGCAAAAGTGAAAAATCGAGAGGCTGCACATAAATCAGCTGCAAATGTTGCCCAGAAGACAAATATCAAACGTTTTTAGTTCAATTATATGCTGAGAGTGGCTGGAGACTGAGTGCAAGCAGCTGAATAATTAATTTAATAATTGCAAAAATTGCGAGAGTTTTAGTTGTAAAGTGGGTGTGATTTGCCGTTGAGAATTGCATAGAAGGGCGTAATGTATATGTGAGAGAGAAACTGAAGAGTTGGAGTAAGTGTAGTAGGAGGTTGAGTTAGCAAGAGTTTTGGAAGAGAGAAAATGCTATAGATATAGGTTCACAGGCTATCAAAGAATAGTAGAGGGAGGGTGATAGATCGAGATAAGTGAAGAGAAAGGACAGAAATCACGAGAGAGAGTGTGAGTGGGTGGACAGAGATAGCGAGAGAGATATGTATTGAGAGAGAGATAGAGATATGTAGAGAGGTATATATTGAAGGAGAGAAATACATAGATAGACAGAATGAAATCCAGAATAAGAGAAAACGGCAACGATTAAAGGAGACCCAAAGCTTGTTTAGTATAATAAAAGACTTTTGAAAAGTTTAAGATAAGTCCGAGAATACAAAGTATAATCCTAGCAAAGCATAAGCGTATATAGACAGGAAAGTAGCTGAGAACTGAGATGAGCAGTGACACAACCAAGTGACTAATTTTCCTAATGAGTTCAGATCAACTGAGTGCTCTCCCAGAAGCAGCAGTAGCTAGCATCAGCATCAACATCATCATCATCGTGATTATAATTCCTGGGGGCTGCTGCTTAACGCACGCAGCAATAATCAACACTCTCACTTACATTCCCACACACACACAGGCACACCTCAACGTATATAAGCTGTCATTAGGCTATGGCTGGCCCACACGGCGTATGCGCAATTTCTCTGAGCTTCGATGATTGCTGAAGTGCACTGAAATTGCTTGGCGACCGAGCGAAACAAAGGGCAGCAGCCACATGCACCACGTGCACATGCACCCACATACACACACACACACTGAACAATTGAATGTGGTTGCAATTGCAGAACATTTAAGCTGCAGGCATTTAAAACTGGATTATCCACTCGAATCAAAGCATTTGGTTAAAGCCTTAATAGTGATTGAAGCGCTGCTAGTTAATTGAAATTGAACCGGGCTATTGCAGGATTTAATTAAAGGTTATATTTAGTTTTGTGTATACAGGCTAAGATATATATATAGAAAGTGTTTATTTATAAACGAAGCTGTGATACAATTGAAGCTCAATAAATTATTTGCATATATTAAATAAATTAATTGCATACAATATTTGTAAATAATATTTAATAAATTCATATACAGATGTCAGCCTCTATATCTTTCGTATATATTCTATATATATTTATGTCTATTCTACACTAGTTTCATCTTCTTTCAATTCGAGTTCATAGAAAAGGATTCAGCTCAAAATCCCAACTACGCACAGTTAAGCTTATTTAAGTTCTCAAACTTCCTTTCCTTCCGTAGCTAGTTTGCGAAAAGTTAAATTCAAATTGCGCAGTGCGATTCAAAATTGGCAGAGAAATGTCTTCAATTTCCTCTCTTGAGTTGTAGTAGTTGCTGCTGCTGCTGCTACGGCTCTATCTCTGTTGGCGCGTGGGCGTGTGGCGTGTGCGACTGCTGCAAGTGCCCTTAAATTAAATTCTGCTTCACATTGCTGCAGTACGTTTTGCCTGCCGCTTGCTGCTTGCGGTCTTTAATTAAATTAATGAAAGGATATTTCATGCTACCAAACGCTGCGTATACGTTATATTTGCTATTTTTTTTATTTTCTTCGCTAGCAGCTTCCAATGTGGCTTGACTGTTGCAAAATGCAATCAGCGCTGCCTTGTTAAGCTCTTGCTATTGCCACCCCCCTCCTTTTACTGCCCTTTCCCTTTAAACCGATTTCCTTATCCTTCATGCTGCTGTTACTCTGCATAAAATATTTAACGTAGCTTTTTGTTGCCTCTCTGCGCATTTACATAGTTAATCAACAAAACTGAAGTGAGAGAGAGACTGAGTGAAGCAGGTCACATAGAGAGAGAGAGAGAGAGGGAGAGAGAGAGAGCCCCAATGCTGAACTCTTTAAATTTTAAAAAACTTCCAGTTTAAAAGTTTTGCCTGACAATTTCTTTCGGAAGATTTTCCGCCCAGACCGCAAAACCTCAATCAATCAACCGCTTACAGGATATACCACAATTTCTTGACCGAACTTCTTGAATGCCGCAAATAAATTCAACAAAATTTAATCATTTCTTTTTTCTCTTAGCGAAATATATATGCTAAAATCGTGGGTGTGGCCAAGTTGAGAAAACATCTTGAAATTGAATTGGGAATCAAACTTGACAAAAATGTTGACTTAAGTCTAAAGCATGAAATCAATTTGAAAAGTTTCTTCGAATTTTTTTTGTGGTGCTATGAAAGAGCGCATTTGCATATTACACACACAATGAAAGCAAAAGACTAAAGGAGGGGCGTGGCAGTTGACCAGGCAATGCATAGCATTGCTACAGGGTATGCGGTTAACAAGTCAAAAGTACAAATGGTATATTGAGTGCTGATTACAAAGCGGTTAAAGAAGGGGAAAGAACAACAAGAGAAAAGCGGAAAAGTCAGATAAAAGTGAAAGCAAAACATGGAAATAGAGAGGGGGAGAGTCTGACAAGGAAACTTTGCATTAACAGAGGCGGAAAATGTGTTTTAGCCAAAAAAAAAAAAAAAAAAAAGAAAGAAAAGCAAAAATTTATAAAGCGATTTGGCAAAATGCTTGCGTTATTATTGATGGACAAATTGGCAGGGGACAGAGGCAGAGCGTGAGTGTGTGTGCGTGTATATGAGGCAACCAAGATTGTTAGCTACAGATGACGGAGACTCCAGGACACATTGGGCCTGGCATTTTATGGGCCGTAATAAAAACACAATTGCAGCTCACTTAAAACTCATCAATCGAGGGGGACACATTAAAGGGACGAGAGATTGAGAGAAAGAGAGAGAGAGAGAGGGACAGTGGGGAAACAGGATACTCGCAGCATACTTAGGCTTGTCAATTTGAATTACCGAACGAGATTTAACTGATTGA